CAGCTGTTCTCCATCAGATTCCCATTGACTCTACTGCAGCTGTTCTCCGTCAGATCCACCCTTGACTCTACTGCAGCTGTTCTCCGTCAAATTCCCCCTTGACTCTACTGCAGCTGTTCTCCATCAGATTCCCATTGACTCTACTGCAGCTGTTCTCCGTCAAATTCCCCCTTGACTCTACTGCAGCTGTTCTCCATCAGATTCCCCGGTGACTCTATTGCAGCTGTTGTCCGTCAGATCCCCCTTTGACTCTACTGCAGCTGTTCTCCGTGAGATACCCCGGTGACTCTATTGCAGCTGTTCTCCGTCAGATTCCCCTGTGACTCTATTGCAGATGTTCTTTGTCAGATCCCCCGCTGACTCTATTGCAGCTGGTCTCCGTCAGATTCCCTCTTGACTCTATTGCAGCTGTTTTCCGTCAGATTTCCCGGTGACTCTATTGCAGCTGTTCTCCGTCAGATCCCCCCCCCCCCGACTCTAGCACAGCTGTTCTCCGTCAGATCACACAGTAACTCTACTACAGCTGTTCTCGTTAGATGCACTGCTGTCATAATAAGGTTAGGGTTAGGAGTGGCCGTAGTGTTAAGGAGTACCAATACCCTAACCTTATTATGACAGCAGTGCATCTAACGCCAACACACAGTAATAACATCATCGGTTCACGCTATCGCAAACACACAGTAATTACGTCATTTGTTTCGTTCCCTCTTTTCCACTCCGCAATATTGCAATGCGGCCAGGGGACTGAACTCCGGCGTACTCCATAATAAGTGGCCGTAGTTTTAAGGAGAACCCTGTACTTTAGTCGTCTGGAAAGATCTCCCCACCGTAGGCCATAAATTTGGATATCAGCTCCAGCTCTGTTAGGTTTTACAAAACTTAGTTGTCAGGTTTACTAACCTAACAGCGTGTGGCCAAATGATACTTCGCTGCTTCCCGGGAGAGGACAGACTTGTGAGGCATGAGCTGCGATCTGTTGACATGAAGACACAGGCCTCATAGCGAACTTGAATGAGTGTTTGTTGGGTCTGCAAATGTTCAGTGTGTAAGCCAGATCGTGTTCCAGGCCGATGTGCCGTGCAGTATGGCTACAAACATTTGAGAATTCTTTCTGATCTTCAGTGCATGTGACTTGTTAGAGAAAAATACTTCACTCAACATGCAGCAGCAAGTTACAACCCAAAGCGGTTGGGAGGAGAGAGAGAAAAGGGGGAGGGGTAAGCCCCGAGACACAATCTGTAACTGCCCCTGAGCTGGTTCAACAATGTTTACACTGCTTCTTTAGCGCCAGGCTGAGAGAGAGGCTCTGCCAATTGTGTGGACAACAGACTGTGCTCCATTCCAACATAAAAGACACGAGCAACACAGTTCCAAGGTACCAACGACTGTCTACACGGTTTGTGGACACTGCTGGATACTTGACACCTCCCCCCCCCCCCCCCCCCCCCCCGAAGACAACAAACTGAAGTCCACACAAAGTTTAACTCTTTATTGTTCTTGTACCTCCATTTACAATCAAGAATTGGTGACACACTGCCGGATGATGCATACGTGCAAACACACATACTGCCGAACTCAACCACCAGAGATAACACACCTGCAAGTTATTTGTGATAGATACACATCTTACCCTTGGACAACCATGGCCTGCCAGGATAATGTGTCTACTTATCACCGCACCCAAACTGCAGAAGACAGCATACTTGTATACCGGTCCTGTGGTCACATGTTTCATTGTCCCTTGCAGCGAATCTTCAAACTGTCCTAGGCTGTATGTTTTGCTGATGTGTCCCCATTTAGATTGAGTCCAGGTCACTCCTGTTTCTATTGCTGTCAATAACTGATTGTTGTTTCAAAGTTGTGGTTCAGTGCTCTCACAATAGTCCACACTGAATGAGTTACACAGACCGCCTCTATCTCCCCTCCTAAACCGGAAAGTGTAGTCATATTATACTGCAGCTTCTTCTTCAGCAGTATCAGCTCACAGCCTGGCCTTGAATGCACGTTTCCAGCACTACACAGCTCCAGGTGGTCACTGTGTCCTCAGTATTGCCCACACACTCCTCACCAGCCATGGAACTGGTCAGTCTCAGCTGACAGGAGTGTCCATCATGTGATTTGCTCTGCTTCACAAATCATGGGAATCAATTACTGTTGTGGTCCCGTCACTAAAATGATAGGGTCCACTGAATGGCTCATCAAGTTTCAAAACAGTTGATGATCTCAGGCTTGGAACCTCAAACCACCACACACAATCACACAACAACCATGTAGGCAACAACTACTCAGACACAAGTCCAGTGAATGTGGCTTCAATCATTTACATGGTCAGTGAATGACAAGAGTGTTTGTATCAATCAACAAAGCAAGCCGCTACTGGCTCTAATGTCCTCTGGAGAAAACAGCCAATATCAGGCCTGCCTACATCATAGGCATCTGTGATAGCGGTACAATCATACAGCCGGTCCTAAACTGCCCATACATATTAAATCAAAATGGATTGTAATATTTAAAATATATATACGATGAATAAGAAAAGATTATACCCATTATCAAAATTTTACAGCATCAGTTGTTGCATGCAAGAAAACAGCCAAGTTTAAAAACAAAACCAAACAAAATAATAAAAATAAAACTGATAATGTCAAACACCCACATGGAGAAGTTATGGAACACTTCTGGAAGGTTGAGAACCCCCAGCCTGCTTCATGTACCAGATCATACAACACAGAGACTGACTTGTTTGGTACAGCCTGCTTCATGTACCAGATCATACAACACAGAGACTGACTTGTTTGGTACAGCCTGCTTCATGTACCAGATCATACAACACAGAGACTGACTTGTGTAGTACGGAACACTTCTGGAAGGTTGAGAACCCCCAGCCTGCTTCATGTACCAGATCATATAATACAGAGACTGACTTGTGTGGTACAGCCTGCTTCTCAGCAGAACAGGACTTCAGTCCAGCCCAACAACTGTGCTGGGAGACCAGGGCAAACAGCAGCTGGACTCCACAAGCAATGATCTCAAGTAAACTGAAGGCAGCAACAGAAACAGCCCATTTACCCCACGTCCACACCTAACTCGACTGGAATGGATTTTTGCACCAAATACACTGTGTCCATTCACACGCAGAAACACCTTCATTCACATTTGCAGGAATCAAGAAAACTAAATTCATACACGTAATCTATTGCTGCCACTTGCCTGCCCCGTGGCCACAGGTTCAAACCTCCATCAAATAAGACTTTAAAAAGAGCAATTTAAAAACTGGGTAGCAGGAAAACATGGAGAGTAAAGGGGCTAGAGTAAGACTGACCACATGACCCTCCCCAACTGAGTGCCAGCTGGTCTGTAAAATATGAGGTTGGTTCAATAAGACCCAGGATGTAGACAGGGACCCCTTATTTGATTGCTTATAGACTATTGAAAACACATATAACATGCATCTTTGTCTGCTGGACAGAGAGTCATAGGTGTTTCCAGGTATGTGTAACCTCTGCTGGACAGAGAGACATAGGTGTTCCCAGATGTGTAACCTCTGCTGAACAGAGAGACATAAGTGTTGCCAGGTATGTGTAACCTCTGCTGCCTGATGCACCATGCTTGAGAACTACACCATTGAGATCAGACTTGTGTGTCTCCCATGTTCTGCCTAAATGACAAATCTAAAGAGCAGTTTTGAGACATACAGACAGACGCTGGGCAGTCACAGACTGGGCAGTCACAGACACTGAGCAGTCACAGACGCTGGGCATTCACAGACGACGGGCAGTCACAGACGCTGGGCAGTCACAGACGCCGGGCAGTCACAGACGCCGGGCAGTCACATTGGGTTGGAGACCACACCTGCCAGCATTTGTGTCACCTGCAGACTGTATATAGGAACTTATGGAGCAAGGCAGAGTGTCCTTGCCTGGCCTCCATCACACACATGGGACTACAAACTGTCTTCCACATGTGGTAGCAGTCTAACACAGATGGCCACATCAAGGATCAGCAGCCAATGGTTCTTGGCAAGATTCCTGCAGCTGTGGTTTCCTTGAAAGATACCTGCAGCAGTAGTTCCCTGAAAAGATGCCTGCAGCAGTAGTTCCCTGAAAAGATGCCTGCAGCAGTAGTTCCCTGAAAAGATGCCTGCAGCAGTAGTTCCCCGAAAAGATCCCTGCACCAGTGGTTCCCTGGAAATATACCTACAGCAGTAGTTCCCTGGAAATATACCTGCACCAGTGGTTCCATGGAAAGATCCCTGCATCTATGCTTCCAGATTAGCCAGGACCCGCATATCCCTCCTATTTACACAAAAAATCAAACGGGAAAAACTGCTTTGGAAAGTCAGGGCCCATCTAGGTCAGCATGCGAAGGCTGGATTTGAGTGAGCAACTATAAATGCCACACAAGTGGACATACAGGGCAAGAAAAGACACAGGAGGCCCCTTGATCACCCGATGTGTTGGTTTCTATTCCAATCATGTTGATCATTATGTGGCCACTGCATCAAACAGAATCAAGGTGCCTGATCTTGTCCAACTCAGGTGCAAGACCTGCTCAACTCACACCTTCCACTGCGCCAAGTTTCTACTCCAGCCGCAGCACTAAACACAACTGGACTAGCAAGTCTGCAATCTCCCTTTTCTCAAATCCAATCCATATGTAACTGATACTGCCCCTTGATCACACACGGATGGACAACCAACATCATTATACAGACTACACATTATTGCCTTCTCCTCCACAGCAACAAGTGCAGCTAAAGACTACATCAAACTGATATTGTGAGAGTTACTCCCAGAAAATGTGACTCCACAAAACTGACCAACATAACTCCACAAAACTGACCAACATAACTCCACAAAACCGACCAACATAACAAGACACAAGTAGAGCCAGCAGCAATAACAGCATGGTCAATCACAAACATGTTTTGATGACGGCCAAAGATGAGATGATAATGAGATGACAACTGGATGATGAAACTAGAGGTGAGGTGAGCGACATCACTTGCTGAGCTCAGACGACAGCCAGTCCAGCCCTTCGTAGAGACCTGTGCCTTGGGTGGCTGTTGCTCCTTGGATGTACCACTAGAGGCAGATACAAACAGTGCAGACAGGTCAAGTCAGTTTACATCAATTATATCAAAGGCAATTGTTATAATTTATAACATATATCATCGGAGCTGACAATTATAGCAAGATGTTACAAGAGCTGACACAAATAAATAACATGTTACAAGAGCTGACACAAATAAATAACATGTTACAAGAGCTGACACAAATAAATAACTTGTTACAAGAGCTGACACAAATAAATAACATGTTACAAGAGCTGACACAAATAAATAACATGTTACAAGAGCTGACACAAATAAATAACATGTTACAAGAGCTGACACAAATAAATAACATGTTACAAGAGCTGACACAAATAAATAACATGTTACAAGAGCTGACATAAATGACAATAACATGTTACAAGAGCTGACATAAATGACAATAACATGTTACAAGAGCTGACATAAATGACAATAACATGTTACAAGAGCTGACATAAATGACAATAACATGTTACAAGAGCTGACACAAATAAATAACATGTTACAAGAGCTGACACAAATAAATAACATGTTACAAGAGCTGACACAAATAAATAACATGTTACAAGAGCTGACACAAATAAATAACATGTTACAAGAGCTGACACAAATAAATAACATGTTACAAGAGCTGACATAAATGACAATAACATGTTACAAGAGCTGACATAAATGACAATAACATGTTACAAGAGCTGACATAAATGACAATAACATGTTACAAGAGCTGACACAAATAAATAACATGTTACAAGAGCTGACACAAATAAATAACATGTTACAAGAGCTGACACAAATAAATAACATGTTACAAGAGCTGACACAAATGAATAACATGTTACAAGAGCTGACACAAATAAATAACATGTTACAAGAGCTGACACAAATAAATAACATGTTACAAGAGCTGACACAAATGAATAACATGTTACAAGAGCTGACATAAATGACAATATCATGTTACAAGAGCTGACACAAATAAATAACATGTTACAAGAGCTGACACAAATTAATAACATGTTACAAGAGCTGACACAAATAAATAACATGTTACAAGAGCTGACACAAATAAATAACATGTTACAAGAGCTGACACAAATAAATAACATGTTACAAGAGCTGACACAAATAAATAACATGTTACAAGAGCTGACATAAATGACAATAACATGTTACAAGAGCTGACATAAATGACAATAACATGTTACAAGAGCTGACATAAATGACAATAACATGTTACAAGAGCTGACACAAATAAATAACATGTTACAAGAGCTGACACAAATAAATAACATGTTACAAGAGCTGACACAAATAAATAACATGTTACAAGAGCTGACACAAATGACAATAATATGTTCAAGAATTACTATAAGATACTGTCCAGATATACAGCTGTAGTTGGAGTGTACAGCTGTAGTGAAGCTGTTTGAACACAACACAGCTGTCCAGTACCTGATTAGTTATAGTTAGAATTTGACATCATAGCAGTCAGGACATAAGTGCTCCATCCCCATCTTCAGCAGTTTTGGTTCTGATGGCACCAGTAATAGCCTGGCTGTTTGTCCATTTAGCCGCTGCCCTGAGTGTCCAGTGTTGGAGAGATCCCCTGGTCACTCCCTGTGCCCTGAGTGTCCAGTGTTGGAGAGATCCCCTGGTCACTCCCAGTGCCCTGAGTGTCCAGTGTTGGAGAGATCCCCTGGGCACTCCCTGCGCCCTGAGTGTCCAGTGTTGGAGAGATCCCCTGGTCACTTCCCGTGCCCTGAGTGTCCAGTGTTGGAGAGATCGCCTGGTCACTCCCCCTGGCCTGAGTGTCCATGTTGGAGAGATCCCCTGGTCACTCCCCCTGCCCTGAGTGTCCAGTGTTGGAGAGATCCCCTGGTCACTCCCTGCGCTCTGAGTGTCCAGTGTTGGAGAGATCCCCTGGTCACTCCCTGCGCCCTGAGTATCCAGTGTTGGAGAGATGCCTTGGTCACTCCCCGTGCCCTGAGTGTCCAGATGCGGTATGCTATGCCAGGCTTTGTTGCACTCAGTGAGACAGGCTTTGTTGCACTCAGTGAGACAGGCTTTGTTGCACTCAGTGAGCCAGGCTTTGTTGCACTCAGTGAGACAGGCTTTGTAGCACTCAGTGAGCCAGGCTTTGTTGCACTCAGAGAGCCAGACTTTGTTGCACTCAGTGAGCCAGGCTTTGTTGCACTCAGAGAGCCAGGCTTTGTTGCACTCAGAGAGCCAGACTTTGTTGCACTCAGAGAGCCAGGCTTTGTTGCACTCAGAGAGCCAGGCTTTGTAGCACTCAGTGAGACAGGCTTTGTTGCACTCAGAGAGCCAGACTTTGTTGCACTCAGTGAGCCAGGCTTTGTTGCACTCAGAGAGCCAGGCTTTGTTGCACTCAGAGAGCCAGGCTTTGTTGCACTCAGAGAGCCAGGCTTTGTAGCACTCAGTGAGACAGGCTTTGTTGCACTCAGAGAGCCAGGCTTTGTTGCACTCAAAGAGCCAGGCTTTGTTGCACTCAGAGAGCCAGACTTTGTTGCACTCAGAGAGCCAGGCTTTGTAGCACTCAGTGAGCCAGGCTTTGTTGCACTCAGTGAGCCAGGCTTTGTTGCACTCAGAGAGCCAGACTTTGTTGCACTCAGAGAGCCAGGCTTTGTTGCACTCAGAGAGCCAGGCTTTGTAGCACTCAGTGAGACAGGCTTTGTTGCACTCAGAGAGCCAGGATTTGTAGCACTCAGTGAGCCAGGCTTTGTTGCACTCAGTGAGGCAGGCTTTGTTGCACTCAGAGAGCCAGGATTTGTAGCACTCAGTGAGGCAGGCTTTGTTGCACTCAGTGAGGCAGGCTTTGTTGCACTCAGAGAGCCAGGATTTGTAGCACTCAGTGAGGCAGGCTTTGTTGCACTCAGTGAGGCAGGCTTTGTTGCACTCAGTGAGGCAGGCTTTGTTGCACTCAGAGAGCCAGGATTTGTAGCACTCAGTGAGGCAGGCTTTGTTGCACCAGTGAGCCAGGCTTTGTTGCACTCAGTGACTTGATTGTGCTTTTGCTATGATCCCCCATGAATGCTTTCTACCTTTCAACACACAGCCATCACTACAGATAATCACACCATCTGCGTGGGAATTGTCATGAATCATTTGTTGAACCTCTGACTCTGCAGCATCCGCTAGCAAGACCACACTTTCATGACCTAATGTGACTGGAACTCTACACAAGTCTGCTTGTTGCTCGGACATTATGACCTGCTCCTCTCCTCACACAAGTCTGCTTGTTGCTCAGACATTATGACCTGCTCCTCTCCTCACACAAGTCTGCTTGTTGCTCGGACACTGTGACCTGCTCCTCTCCTCACACAAGTCTGCTTGTTGCTCAGACATTGTGACCTGCTCCTCTCCTCACACAAGTCTGCTTGTTGCTCAGACATTGTGACCTGCTCCTCTCCTCACACAAGTCTGCTTGTTGCTCGGACATTGTGACCTGCTCCTCTCCTCACACAAGTCTGCTTGTTGCTCGGACACTGTGACCTGCTCCTCTCCTCACACAAGTCTGCTTGATGCTCAGACATTGTGACCTGCTCCTCTCCTCACACAAGTCTGCTTGTTGCTCAGACACTATGACCTGCTCCTCTCCTCACACAATAATATCAAGCCTGCACACAAGTCTAATTGTGTCTTCAACTTGCCCCATCCAGACCTTCCTCTTTCAGCTGGTGATCCTTAGCGCTGTCGCAGGGTTGCCAGTCTTTATTGGACCGCGGGCTAAATTTTGAATTATCAGCCTGGTTGCTGGCCAAAAAGAGCAAAAAGAAATCTACTTTAAACTAAAACCCAGATTCCCTTATAAATTCTGAGCGTATCAGTAACAGATGTCTCACTAGCAGGATCACAGATTTGGCAAGATCAGCACCAGGTTGTCACTTTCTTTAAATATGAACATGCTTTTGTTTTCTGCTATTCTGTGAGCTCAAGAGCCAGATTATATAGTAATTATTACACAAGCCCCGCGGGGCCAGTAAAACTGTTCAATGGGCTGATCTAGGAGTTTTTACACAAGCCCCGCGGGGCCAGTAAAACTGTTCAATGGGCTGATCTAGGAGTTTTTACACAAGCCCCGCGGGGCCAGTAAAACTGTTCAATGGGCTGATCTAGGAGTTTTTACACAAGCCCCGCGGGGCCAGTAAAACTGTTTCAATGGGCTGATCTAGGAGTTTTTACACAAGCCCCGCGGGGCCAGTAAAACTGTTCAATGGGCTGATCTAGGAGTTTTTACACAAGCCCCGCGGGGCCAGTAAAACTGTTCAACGGGCTGATCTAGGAGTTTTTACACAAGCCCCCCGGGGCCAGTAAAACTGTTCAATGGGCTGATCTAGGAGTTTTTACACAAGCCCCGTGGGGCCAGTAAAACTGTTCAATGGGCTGATCTAGGAGTTTTTACACAAGCCCCGCGGGGCCAGTAAAACTGTTCAACGGGCTGATCTAGGAGTTTTTACACAAGCCCCGCGGGGCCAGTAAAACTGTTCAACGGGCTGATCTAGGAGTTTTTACACAAGCCCCGCGGGGCCAGTAAAACTGTTCAACTGGCTGATCTAGGAGGCACTTGTGATCTGCGCTACTCTGAGACATGATTTTGCTTGCAGAACTTTATGACTATCTGTAAAAGTCACTTGTGCAACTATATATTGCATACATATTACCTCAGTACCTCTTGTATACCCTAGAAACACCCTCATGGTTTCATTGTGTGTGTGTTCAAGTTTTGTCATTTGCTCTTTGATATTATAAACATTCCATGTGCATAATCTATCATCGAGAAGATCACATGCTGGACTATAGTGAACAGCATTTTTTGTTTCATGTTTATTGTTCCCATAATGTTGAGTTCAATGAGTCTTTTGTGACTTTTTGCCACAACAGGTGTAGCCGTTCAGATATGTGATATAGTGGTGTTCAGATAGATGTTCAAATATAGTGGAAGTGCTTTGACATGTAGCAACCTACCTTTCTGTTTCTCATGTTCTGAAGTCCTAGTGCTGTTGTGATATCTGCACAGGACATGGCATTGGGTAGATCCTGTTTGTTGGCAAACACTAGGACAAGGGCATCCCTGAGCTCGTCTTCTTGAAGCTGCTCACAAACACAAATCATGTTTCAGATAACAGTATCTCTAGAGATAAACTCTAAACAACCAATCATGTTTCAGGTAACTGACAGTATCTCTAGAGACAAACTCTAAACAGCCAATCATGTTTCAGGTAACTGACAGTATCTCTAGAGACAAACTCTAAACAAGCAATCATGTTTCAGGTAACTGACAGTATCTCTAGAGACAAACTGTAAACAACCAATCATGTTTCAGGTAACTGACAGTATCTCTAGAGACAAACTCTAAACAACCAATCATGTTTCAGGTAACTGACAGTATCTCTAGAGACAAACTCTAAACAACCAATCATGTTTCAGGTAACTGACAGTATCTCTAGAGACAAACTCTAAACAAGCAATCATGTTTCAGGTAACTGACAGTATCTCTAGAGACAAACTCTAAACAACCAATCATGTTTCAGGTAACTGACAGTATCTCTAGAGATAAACTCTAACCAACCAATCATGTTTCAGGTAACTGACAGTATCTCTAGAGACAAACTCTAAACAACCAATGATGTTTCAGGCAACTAAGTCTCACTAGCAACATTTAAACAAAACAAAATTATGTTTGAGGCAATTTGGTCTCTCTAGAGAAGAATAATTTAAAAAAAAAACTTCTAAACAACAAATCATGCAACTTTCAGTATCTCTAGAAACAAACTCTAAACAGCAAATCATGTCATGAGAAGTGAGGTGGACACCGTCTTCCTGGCTGACAAGAGACCTTTATACCAGCTGACTCAAATACAAGCAGTAGTTTTCAGGATGACATGTGCGTACAGCTGATGGTGGAAACAAGTGGTTGGTTGTCGTATCTGTGTAAGTCTATTGCTGGATTTTAAGGAGCACTGTAGTGGATGTTTGGCTAATCTACGGTACTGGTGTGTTATACTGGGTATGCTATTATGTGCGGGGAACACAACACTTGAGACACTGGAGTTTCTAAATAACTACCTCACATTGATTGGTTGCTTACACACATAACCAGTTGAGATCTTACACACATAACCAGTTGAGATCTTACACACATAACCAGTTGTGATCTTACACACATAACCAGTTGTGATCTTACACACATAACCAGTTGTGATCTTACACACATAACCAGTTGTGATCTTACACACATAACCAGTTGTGATCTTACACACATAACCAGTTGTGATCTTACACACATAACCAGTTGAGATCTTACACACATAACCAGTTGAGATCTTACACACATAACCAGTTGTGATCTTACACACATAACCAGTTGTGATCTTACACACATAACCAGTTGTGATCTTACACACATAACCAGTTGTGATCTTACACACATAACCAGTTGTGATCTTACACACATAACCAGTTGTGATCTTACACACATAACCAGTTGTGATCTTACACACATAACCAGTTGTGATCTTACACACATAACCAGTTGTGAAAGTACAGGTCTCTGGAAGGACACGAAGACGCACAGCCATGTTGAAGTGAACATGTGCCTCCATGTGGGTTCTATGGCTCCATTAAGAGGGAGGAAGAAGGCATGGGAAAGAACAGACCAAATCCCCCTTAACATCATCATCATCAGGTGCCTTGCCGACTGGCGTGGGCGATCATGCCTCTCCATAATCCGCAATCTCCTGCAGCATGTATCAGTTCGTGTGCCGACACACCTCCATGCCATGCAACAAGACTGTCAAGCATCTTCTCTCGTTGTCTTCCTCTATCTCTCCTTCCTCATATCTTTCCAGTGGTCACAACATGTTCTATTTTCCCTCTTCTCATAAAATGGCCGAAAAATGATGACTGTCTCCTTCTGATGTCAGTGATAAGTTGTCTTCGGTCTCCCGCCTCTTTTAAAACCTCTTGGTTGCTCTTTTTGGCTGTCCAAGGTATTCTAAGCATTCTTCTGTAAAACCACATCTCTGAAGCCTCTAAAAATTGTTTGGCCTGCCTACCGATTGTCCAGGATTCACATCCATATGTTAAAACTGGATGTATGTAGCAAGCAAGAATTATTTTTCTAACTCTCAATGACAAGGATATATTGCACAAGATGTTTTTCATTTTATAAAATGCAGTTTTTGCCTGTCCAATTCTGTTTCTTATTTCAGTTATGCATCTTCCATCTGATGTTATCCATGTGCCCAGATCGCCCTTAACAAGCATGTCATAAAAAGCGAATAATTAAAGTTTTGTGTTGGGTTGAAAGGCAGATATCATAGCCTTGCTGTAAACCACAACAGATTGTGCTAAAACAGGGAGGAGGGAAGAGAACAAAGGAAAAACATGCAAAAGGGAAAATGATCAACAATGGGGAAAGAAATTATGCATGCAATATCAGCAAAGCCAATGACAAAGATTACTGGAGGAACACACTGACCATTTTCTGGAGTTCATCTCTGGCCTCGTTAATTCGCTCCCTATCATTGCTGTCCACAACAAAGATGAGGCCCTGTTGAGGAAACAGTTACAATGATTTCAACAATACAGTAGCAACTAGGCACAATAATCTAGAAGTCAATCATCAAGAATATCCACAGCTACTTACCCACACAGGACTGCAGGATTGCCATCAGGTTGGTGTCGCCCCAAGTAGATCACTTCTCTGAAGATTGATCAGGGTATCTGTGATCTGCCTTGTTGGTCTGCCATCCAGACTGAGACATTTTAAACTTCAGAATCGTACGATAAACCTTTCATTTAGACAATGCTCAGAGTGGACAAACCAAGTGATCGATCGAAAACCAGGGACTGGCTAGTGTCCACTTTCAGCTGTAAGTTCCCCAGGTTAAGCAGTCCTAAGTTTTCACACATCTACTTCTTTCAATAAGTACCAATCAGTACATGAGAATGTTTCTGAACAAAGATGCGAGTTGTTTCTAATGAACACAGCCAATCATAGGATGCCCTTGTGAGTGATCCAGTTGTCCAGAGATGTTTTCATGTAGAGATGTTTTCATGTAGAGATGACAAGAACTGACAAGCAATAAAGAAATGTTTGATTCAGCTTCAAAAACATTTAGTAACACTGCACACTAGATTTCAGCCTACAGTGACAACACCTGTTTACAAGATCACAACTTGAAGATGAGCAGTACATCTTGGATGACCACATTCTTACATCATCAGGGATAAACCATTCATCAAAATACAAGAAACAGCCCTAGAATTGTGTGTCAAATGACATAAACAAACCATCCATCTGTGAGTGTGAGAGCAAATGACAGACAAGGGAGAGATGGGCAGACAAGGAGAAAATACAGTCAGGATATAAAGCGCAGATTATTAGAGAGAAAGAGAGAGACACATGGCGAAAGAGAGGCAAGCCTACCTGAGTGTTTTGGAAGTAATGCCTCCACAATGGTCTGATCTTGTCCTGGCCACCAACATCCCACACAGTAAAACTGATGTTCTTGTATTCCACAGACTCCACATTAAAACCTGATTAATGGACATAAACATATTGCTCTAGTGATTCCACACAAGCCTAGATGGTAGGGACATGAAGATATTGCTCTAGTGATTCCACACAAGCCTAGATGGTAGGGACATGAAGATATTGCTCCAGTGATTCCACACAAGCCTAGATGGTAGGGACATGAAGATATTGCTCCAGTGATTCCACACAAGCCTAGATGGTAGGGACATGAACATAATGCTCCAGTGACTCCACACAAGCCTAGATGGTAGGGACATGAACATATTGCTTCAGTGACTCCACACAAGCCTAGATGGTAGGGACATGAACATATTGCTCCAGTGATTCCACATAAGCCTAGATGGTAGGGACATGAACATATTGCTCTAGTGATTCCACACAAGCCTAGATGGTAGGGACATAAACATATTGCTTCAGTGACTCCACACAAGCCTAGATGGTAGGGACATGAACATAATGCTCCAGTGACTCCACACAAGCCTAGATGGTAGGGACATGAACATAATGCTCCAGTGACTCCACACAAGCATAGATGGTAGGGACATGAAGATATTGCTCCAGTGATTCCACACAAGCCTAGATGGTAGGGACATGAAGATATTGCTCCAGTGATTCCACACAAGCCTAGATGGTAGGGACATGAAGATATTGCTCCAGTGATTCCACACAAGCCTAGATGGTAGGGACATGAACATATTGCTCCAGTGATTCCACATAAGCCTAGATGGTAGGGACATGAACATATTGCTCCAGTGATTCCACACAAGCCTAGATGGTAGGGACATGAACATATTGTAGGATGGTACATGAACATATTGCTCTAGTGATTCCACACAAGCCTAGATGGTAGGGACATAAACATATTGCTCCAGTGATTCCACATAAGCCTAGATGGTAGGGACATGAAGATATTGCTTCAGTGATTCCACACAAGCCTAGATGGTAGGGACATGAACATATTGCTCTAGTGATTCCACACAAGCCTAGATGGTAGGGACATGAACATATTGCTCTAGTGATTCCACACAAGCCTAGATGGTAGGGACATAAACATATTGCTTCAGTGATTCCACATAAGCCTAGATGGTAGGGACATGAAGATATTGCTTCAGTGACTCCACACAAGCCTAGATAGTAGGGACATGAACATAATGCTCCAGTGACTCCACACAAGCATAGATGGTAGGGACATGAAGATATTGCTCCAGTGATTCCACACAAGCCTAGATGGTAGGGACATGAAGATATTGCTCCAGTGATTCCACACAAGCCTAGATGGTAGGGACATGAAGATATTGCTCCAGTGATTCCACACAAGCCTAGATGGTAGGGACATGAACATATTGCTCCAGTGATTCCACATAAGCCTAGATGGTAGGGACATGAACATATTGCTCCAGTGATTCCACACAAGCCTAGATGGTAGGGACATAAACATATTGCTCCAGTGATTCCACATAAGCCTAGATGGTAGGGACATGAAGATATTGCTTCAGTGATTCCACACAAGCCTAGATGGTAGGGACATGAACATATTGCTCCAGTGATTCCACACAAGCCTAGATGGTAGGGACATGAACATATTGCTCTAGTGATTCCACACAAGCCTAGATGGTAGGGACATGAAGATATTGCTCTAGTGATTCCACACAAGCATAGATGGTAGGGACATGAACATATTGCTCCAGTGATTCCATACAAGCCTAGATGGTAGGGACATGAACATATTGCTTCAGTGATTCCACACAAGCCAAGATGGTAGGGACATGAACATATTGCTCTAGTGATTCCACACAAGCCAAGATGGTAGGGACATGAACATATTGCTTCAGTGATTCCACATAAGCCTAGATGGTAGGGACATGAACATATTGCTTCAGTGATTCCACACAAGCCTAGCTTGTAGTAGCAAGAGGCTCCATAGACTGAGACAGCACAATATGTGGTACAATACAACTTGAGATACAACATAACATGAGATTCAGCATAATATGGGAGACAACACAACATGGAAAATGTGATGGGGTGCTTTGCATGGTGGCCCACACTCTCGGCAAGCTGAGTAGAAAACATGGGATAGTCGCAGCTGGAGACACTTGTGCAAGGGCAGAAAACATGGGATAGTTGCAGCTGGAGATACACTCGTGCAAGGGGAGAAAACATGGGATAGTTGCAGCTGGAGATACACCTGTGCAAGGGGCGAAAACATGGGATAGTCGAAGCTGGAGATACACCTGTGCAAGGGGAGAAAACATGGGATAGTCACAGCTGTGCAAGGGGAGAAAACATGGGATAGTCGCAGCTGTGCAAGGGGAGAAAACATGGGATAGTCACAGCTGTGCAAGGGGAGAAAACATGGGATAGTCGCAGCTGTGCAAGGGGAGAAAACATGGGATAGTCACAGCTGTGCAAGGGGAGAAAACATGGGATAGTCGCAGCTGGAGATACACCTGTGCAAGGGGAGAAAACATGGGATAGTCGAAGCTGGAGATACACCTGTGCAAGGGGAGAAAACATGGGATAGTCACAGCTGTGCAAGGGGAGAAAACATGGGATAGTCGCAGCTGTGCAAGGGGAGAAAACATGGGATAGTCACAGCTGTGCAAGGGGAGAAAACATGGGATAGTCGCAGCTGGAGATACACCTGTGCAAGGGGAGAAAACATGGGATAGTCGAAGCTGGAGATACACCTGTGCAAGGGGAGAAAACATGGGATAGTCACAGCTGTGCAAGGGGAGAAAACATGGGATAGTCACAGCTGTGCAAGGGGAGAAAACATGGGATAGTCACAGCTGTGCAAGGGGAGAAAACATGGGATAGTCACAGCTGGAGATACACCAGTGCAAGGGGAGAAAACATGGGATAGCTGCAGCTGGAAATATCAACTAGGCAAAGCCCAAGGAGAACTCGTGGTCAGTGGGGAACCAGAGCTTGAAGAAGACAGTTGGGATGGGTGTTATGTAGTAATTGAAATGTCTTAACATCGTGTGGAAGATCATTGTAATGTACTGTGAGAACAAGTAGCGATATTGATAAATCACTGAAATGTGAGAATCAGGAAGAATAAACTTATATGATGTATATGTGGAAACTGACCGCTGTGATGTGTTATTATTTGAAGACAATTGTGTCTGTTTCCTAGACAGCCTGCATTATTATAAGAGTGAACCAACACAACATCAAATACAACACAACGTGGGATACAACACAACATTAAATACAACTCAACATGGGATACAACATTACGTTCGACACATGTGCACTAGGACTCATACTGGTCCAGATCCATCTACATCTCTCCATGGTCCTCCTGCAAACAGTTCCCAGCCTAAAGCCTGGCCAACAGAAACAGTATCCACGTTCCCTTCAAAGTTGGAAGTTATCCACCTGACAACTGCAGAACCAACAGTCTGCTCATGAAAAAGCCACATTTATAAGAGAAACCTTCTTCTATGTTTTCTGCATTTCTCTCAAAAACCAAGCTGACCTGCCCATCCCCACACACAAGGTGTACATCCTGAAGTTCTTGATTTAGCCAATCTACACAACTTCCTTACCAGTTGCCAGTCCCAACAAAACAGGTCAACAGTTCACTGATAATGTCTGATTTCAACATTGGAACATCAACCCACAAATGTGTGTTCAGAGCATCTGTGTCTCCAAACAGCACAGTAATATTTGCAGCACATGTGACTCCAGATGGGAAAACAACAGCAGAAGGCATGGTACCAGGAAGAAGGGGCAGGGGCTGCCCAACATGAAGATGGGCACAGGATAAGAGGCAGGCAGCAAGAGAGCGAGTTCCTTTCAGGCAGACTGCGATGAGAGTGACATTCTTCAAGGACCTGCTACATGATGATGATGATTCGACTTCAACCTGCACAGGAATAATTACATCAAACATGATACTCACATACACACTTTAATATTAAAAGCTGCTACAGAGTTTGTGAACTGCGCTGAGAGACTCAGTATGTGATCTAGAGGAGCACATCAGAATAATTCTGATTAAAAAACCTAGTGCTGCAGGTAATACGGTTGTGATTGTTACAATTTAACAGTGCACATATATCTTGAGTGACACTGGCCTATTGTTGGTATAACAGTGACAATGCACATACAACATGTCTAATTATTGTGTCATACATGACTCATTATTGTTGTATGGTGGTTACAGTGCCCACACAACACAACAGACACTGACCAATTGTTGGTATAACAGTGACAGTGCACATGCAACATGTCTCATTATTGTGTCATACATGACTCATTATTGTTGTATAGTGGTTACAGTGCCCACACAACACAACAGACCTATTGTTGGTATAACAGTGACAGTGCACATGCAACATGTCTCATTATTGTGTCATACATGACTCATTATTGTTGTATAGTGGTTACAGTGCCCACACAACACAACAGACCTATTGTTGGTATAACAGTGACAGTGCACATGCAACATGACACATTATTGTTGTATAGTGGTTACAGTGCCCACACAACACAACAGACCTATTGTTGGTATAACAGTGACAGTGCACATGCAACATGACACATTATTGTTGTACAGTGGTTACAGTGCCCAGACAACACAACAGACACTAACCTATTGTTGGTATAACAGTGACAGTGCACATGCAACATGTCTCATTAATGTGTCATACATGACTCATTATTGTTGTACAGTGGTTACAGTGCCCAGACAACACAACAGACACTAACCTATTGTTGGTATAGTGGTGACTATCTCTCCCAGCTTCAGTTTGTACAATATTGTTGTTTTGCCAGCAGCATCTAGACCCACTGCAGAAAAAAAAATAATCAGTGTTAGAGACAGTCTTTCCTCCAGAGATAAAACACACATGTGTAACAAATCAGCACTACATACAGGTCTTACAAAACAAATTATCAAAAAACAAAGTAAACTATAGCCATACTTACTTGAAGAAGAAATTTAAAAACAATGCATCTGATAAGACATGCCTGAAAACTGCCCAGTTAAGCATACACAATATAAGGCATACACCAATCGAGAGGACTGTTCTACAGTAAGGCTGACCAAGAACAATATGGAATGATAACATCAGAGAAACTCTACACGATGAGTCTGGTCAATATGGCCAGAAGAATGAACAGATGAACAAACTTCATTTTCAAAGTGTGAAGAAGCTGACATGCAGGCCTTCTCGTCTTCTTCTTTCAGACATCATTTCATTCATACATCAAGTAACAGTACATATCATCAACTGCATTAGAAATGTAAATGCGAGCACTGGAAATACACATTTATAACTTCAGTAAACCGTATTAATTGTAATAAATCTATGAAAAATATGCAATATGTGCAAAATACATTTAATCTTGGCATGTAACTGTGCTCAGATAATATTCAAACAATTTTTGACTGTACGTATAGCGACTAGTGGTATTTTTGATTTGTTGTGAAATCAGCTGCTGAGTATGCTAAACTTGTTTAATACAGGTCTATCCTAAATGTAGGGATATGTTATATGCTTGGATGTTTACTACGCCTTCCATTATGTTTAAACAACGGCCGTAAGTAATATGGTGCCTTCTGAGATAATATTTTGTGAATAAATTTAGCCTGAAAAAGTCAACGTTCGCATAAGACATATATGTTTCGGAACTGACTGTGCTATGATTATTACTTTTAAAGTAAACGACACACTTTTGCAGTGATGAGAGCCGCTTGATAATTCAGCTGGTACAGCCATCCCATAGAGCAATAGTCTATTTATGTCTGGATGTGAGAAACATAGAATATCTTTCTAGTGTTTTTTAATTTGTGCAAACTGGTTAACTTTTCTAGCTGTTTGTGTCACAGAAACCACAACCTTAAATCTGCCTCAAAACCTGACAAGAAACAAAAGGAAATGAAGAAGGAGAAGAAGAAGAAAAAGACAGACCATTCTATTTTATCTTCTGCCATTCTGGTACTTGCTCTAATTGCAGAGGTGCAAACAAAAAGATCATATGTTAGTTGAAGAATGCTACAGTAAAACAGTAATATGTGTATGTCAATTATAAAAATGTACAATACAATCTGCAGTAATGCACAAAATGAAATATATAACAGAAATAAATTGTGCAATTTTGTGTCACTTAAAAACAAAAAGTTTTAGGGAACAAATCTAGAAAATGTGTGAAAGGTCCTAGACCTCTTCACCACTAGAATGCAAGAACATGAAGAGGCCAGAAATGAACAGCACATCAAGGGTATCAGCTTCCCTGTCGTCCATCATCTGACTGAAACCACTGCAATGATTGCTCTAAATGTTCACTGCCAATGACATCCAGGACATGCCCCAATCTAAATAACAATTAGCAATGAAATGTTGAGCTCTGACAAATTCAGCACAGAAATCTTCTTCTTCTTTCTTCTTCACGCGTTCACCAGCTGTACACTGTGGCGGAAAGTTCTGGTTGCTCGTCCACTACTGAACTGCAGTCCTGCTCCAGAACCTGAGTGTTGCGTGTGCATCAGTTTTACAGATCTCATTCTCTTGAATACAGACTGTTGGTTCCTTGCCTCTCCGGCAGATGCACTCCGACTTTAAAGGAAGCTCCCCAATTAGTCGACTCTTACAACATGCTTTTGGGGAGGCAGTGGGTCTATTCTTGTTTTCCTCACAATGGGGCCCCGGAACCCACACGGGGGTGTACTGAAATGAAATGATTCAAGAAGATGAAGTTTGTTGAGGAGCAAATAAACGCTGGTATGTCTGACTATAAGGCATCGGATTGAGAGCAGAGGAAAATCATCATGTGCTACTTTAACTTCACTGACAACAAGCAATACAGTGTCACAGATGATCACATCATCATATCAAAGGACTTCCGAATCAACCACACACACACATTAACTGCTCCAGGGTCAAATGTAGGACATAATCAGAATTTTCTGAGGTCATCTATAGTTAAACTAATGTCTCTCAACCCAACCACACAAACATTCACTGCTCCAGGATCAAATGAAGGACATAATCAGAATTTTCTGAGGTCATCTATAGTTAAACTTAAGTCTCTCAACCCAACCAAAAAACGTTCACTAGAGAGGAAGTCCAAGTTACTATAACAAAAGGCTGTCCAGCAGGTAACTGTACTGTCATATTTTATATTTGTCAGTGACAGTAATAATAATACTGGTCTATCCTCCGAATAACAGTCCCAAATATTCGAGGCTGAAAATATACCCTAACAGAGCCTCAGTCACATGTAAATTAGGGACTTCCGGCACCGCCGAGAGTATCTCCTAGCCACTAAGCACGGTGTGGAGTGGGGCTAAACTAGATGGCTGGGACTCTTGAACAAACAAAATGAATGAAGCAGGAGATGCGGTAGCTGCTGCTCGTGAGTCCCAGCCTACCAGTTAATCCCCGCTCCACGCCACGCGTAGCGGCGTGGGAGATACTCTTGTCGGTGGCGGTAGTCGCCTGAAGTTCGCAATTCAAGTTGCCCAAAGTATGCAATTTACATGTGACTGAGGCCCTGTTAGGGTATATTTTCGGCCTCGATAATTTGGGACCGTTATTCGGAGGATAGCCTAATACTGTATTCAGTAACAATCTCAAACCATAATTTAATTATTTTTCGATTTATCATCGTCATAAAAAGAATAATATATGAGGCGATCTGTTAGTTTACAAACACTTTAGTTTAGTACTTTATCCTCTTGTATTTACTTGTAGTCACTAGTCAGTCAAATGATTGTTTTCTCGACAGGTTTCATGTTTGCTCTAATTTGTGGCATATGTTAAGAATAGATACATTCATGGCTCAGATGACGAGACGTCGTTGTCTAGAAAGTTCATGTCACTGCTGTCTGCAGTACAACTACCTCTAGGTCACAAACCTGACAAGTCAAACTAAACACTTAAAACACAAACATTCCGACGACAACATTCGTTTTATCATCAGAGGTTCGACTCTCTCTGTGGGTGTCGCTTCTTCGGCTTCACTTACCCATCAATATCCTCATATTCCTTTTACCAAAGAGACGGTTGAACAGCGAAGACAGAGAAAGTCCCATGGTGCCTCGATGGAGATACTTTCAGCGGCAGTGTGTGTTGGGTAGTTGTTGAAGAAGTGCCGAGACAAGACCAAGAGCTAAACTACAACTAGATCGGCTTCCTCACGGCCACGTCAATTCCTCCTCGTCTGCCCCTCGTTAAATGACGTCATCAAAAGTAACGGTCTACTCTCCAACAAAATCGTTCCACGTATTTAAAAAGTATAAACCATTTTCCCAACAAAACAAATCGTAACGATAAAACTAGCTAAAAATCCTTTTGAATGCACAATATTTTATTTTAACTTTTTTTTTTCTTCGGGCATTTGTTTTCAAAATACATTCAGCTTCGCTACATGTCTGTTAGTGGACCATCTGGAGACAGAAGAGACATCGTCAATGCCATACGAGAGACTAAACGTTGTGAGGCTTTCAGCTTCGTAAAAAATGATGTTTCACTGAATAGACTCTAGGTGTACCAACTTGAAAATCACTCGGGAGTCCACCGTCATTGCATCAACTAGAACAAAAACGGAGTTAAAAACATTCTCGGGGGCAGGGGGGGGGAGAGATGGAGCACATATGGTCATGTCCGATGTGCTATGAAGATGATCTTTAAATGAACAATGATCTTTGAAATCGGCTGCACTGAAATTAGTTGAGTTGAGTCAAGAATTGAGTCTGATGAGTTTGTCCTGATGAGATTCCACCATGCCATCACTTCGGGCCGTCAAGAATCTTTCTCTTTGACGACCTCTTCTACGTTATCACCTTCCAAGTAATCACGATGTTTATCAGTGCCTTCTCATCTCATGACCGAACAACACTGATTCCTTTTTTTTTTCTCATACTTATACATATTTTATAATCTCATCGCGTGGTTCATTTACTAACGTACTTAGGGCAACACCATAGGCGGCGGAACTTGTGCATCCCAAACATATTCTACAGAAGAGTGAGCAAGAGGAAAGCAGAACATTCAACAACCTAAAAACGTTGCACACCTCTTGATCCATGGATGATCCAACGGGTTGTGTGTGTATGTGTGTGCTCGTGTGTATGTGTGTTTGTATGTGTTCAGATGAGAGTGTGTGTGTGTGTGTGTGTGTGTGTGTGTGTGTGTGTGTTAGTTTTACCCGTCCATCAACGCGACCTATTCCATAACTTTATCGACTTCACGAAGGCTTGTGACTGTGTGTGTGCTAGTTTTACCCGTCCATTAACGCGACCTATTCCATAACTGTATCGACTTCACGAAGGCTTGTGACTGTGTGTGGCATGCTAGGCTCGGACAAAAGATGAGAAATTTCAAGTTCCCTAAAAAGATTTTTCAGGACCCGTGTGGGAGTGAGACAGAGTTGCATACTATCCCCTGTCCTTTTCATTGTGTATTTGGAACACATCATGAGAGGAACACTAGAAAATCATAAAACATCTATATCCATTGGCTGACGACAACTGTGTGATTTACGTTTTGCAGACGACATGGATCTCATGGCTGGTTCTCAAACAAAACTACAAGAACTTATACAAAATTAGGGACAGTCTGTGGTAACTATGGCAGGGAAATTATTGCTGAGAAAAGCAAGTTTCTGGCAAATAGTCACAATAATAAAGTACCACTACTGCCCTAGAGCAAGAGGCAGACTGAGAGTAGGATGGATAGACAATATATCAGAGATCCTGAGGCAACACGGACTAACAACAACACGTGCAACACACCTGGCCCAGGATAGAAAACTGCGACTCCCCACTGCGATGTGAGGCAATTGTGGACAAGACAAGACAATCAAATACCTACCAACATACAGATAAAACGGGAAAAACTAAAGAAGTTAAACCTTTCAATATCTTGGCTCCCACACATGCAACGATGGCAGCTGTACCAAAGAGATCAAGACGAGTCTTGATATGGCAACAGCAGCAATGTCTCAGCTGAATACGATGTGGAACAGCAAAATCAGCGCCGCAGTTAAAGTCAGTATTTACAAAGCATTGGTGTTGTCTGTTTTCTTATACGAATGTGACAGTTTCACCCTTCCCTCTGGTAATGGAAAAGATGATTCAGGCTTTCGAATATAAATGCTATAGGCGCATTTTACGAATTATTTGTTTACAATACAAAACTAATAAATATGTCAGAGACAAAATAAACAAATTTGCGGCACATCAGGAGCCTCTCTTGGCAGTGGTGAAACGTCGCAAGCTAACTTGGTTTGGGCACGTAGTGAAACATGATTCCATTACAAAGACTGTACTTCGAGGAAAATTGGGAGATAGTGGAAGAAGAGGGGAGCAAAGAAGAACTGGAATGACAACATCAAGGAATGGACAGGACTAAGTTATCAAACACTTGTTCATTAAGTGGAAGACAGAGAAAGATGGCGGGTTTTATGTGCTAGTGCTTCCATCGATACACTTCCACCACCCTAACGGGTCATAGGTTATGTTATGTACTCGTCAAAATTTGCATTCTTTAGAATTAACATCTCAACGAAGATAGTCAAACAGCTACAGATCCTGTAAAATCCGTTCTACAATATAAGGATATAACACAGTTGTTCTTGGGCACTACTATAGTGCAGCGTGGGTGGGTTTGAATCCGAGCTTTGACACAGGCCAACTTAGTCCTGCTGCAGTTAGATTTCTGAGGAGTAATCAGGAAGCAAAAACACTGGCACTAACTCTAGAGTTATACGTGCTTGTCTCCCTTTGACGTCTGAGAAATGCTCCAGGATTGACCAAACTAGATGATCGCGCATTATGTCATAGAGAGGACAGTCCGCGTACAACTTAGGCTGAAGTTAAACCCACTGAGAACAAATAAAATCGCCTGCCACTTTAGAACCAATATGTAAGAAGAGTATAAGAAAAAAGGAGAGGGACATAAAGTCCATACCGACCAACAACAAGGTGCGAGGGTCATCATTATCATCAAATGCCTTGCCGACTGGCTTGGCCGACCATGCCTCTCCACCAGAGGCGATCCGCAGCTTCGTGTATCAGTTAGTGTGCTGACACCTCAAATCTTTCCGGCTGTTGATCCAAGTATCTGGCTTCTCTCGGTGTTTTTGTTAACCTAGTGCACGGGAGTGGCAGGATCTTGTCATTTTGTGATGACGTCTTGGTATACCGATATGGAAGAGATCGTCAAGACATTGCCAGTTCAATGCAGAGTCAACTTGATAGCATCTCCTGCGGAAATGTCGATTCTAACACACACATGAACCATTCAGAGGCCTCGGTGACGCTGTCCTCCTTGAACACGCATATAGTGAAGGCAGACTTTCCAGCAGTGGAACGCAGCGACGACATTTCGACGTGATCAAACCTGACGACATATCTCGGAGTGAAGTTTAAACGAAGCCTCGTTCAAAGATCACATTAGCCAATATTTTTAATAACAAAAGCACGCAAAAGTCTGTCGGCATTGAAAGTCCTGGCCACCGCTAATATTGAGCAGAGACTGTTTCTGCTTCTGTTCCTGAGACTTGTACTTGCAAAACGAAGCAAAGCGCATTATTTTGGGGTGCACAAGAAATACCTCTTGAATAGCAATAAGATGCCTTCTTGACTTCCTTCCCTACCATGAACTACAGGATCGAGATCTGGATGGCTCGCTCATACCTCAAAAAAGTTCCATTCTGCACGGAAAAAAGTACAACAGACTAAAAAGGGGCAAATCGTAGCTGGGTAGGGCAGAAGATGACATCAAGCAGGTCTACAGCCTTACAGAAATCTACCCTGATGAGCGTTGGATGCCAGTGCATAATCCGCCGAATCGAACCTTCTCCCGTGTCGTCGCGTTTGGTAGGAGTTGTCGGAAGCATAATCCCGTTGTTGTCAACACCGAGGTCTGAGCGCGTATCAGTGACAAGTCAGGTGAGAAAGATGTGTTGATTGTTACAGACGGGTCGGTTATACAAAGACATACGAGTGCAGGGGCATATGCAGCTCGCTCAACAGGCAAAACAGTTCAAAAAGCCAGCGGTGCCTTCTCCGTGACCACCAGCAGCATGACGATGGAGATGATGGCGGTGACGTAAGCTTTTATGTGGCTAGAATCACAGGACTATTCCCGCGTGTGTGTGCTGAGTGATTCTTTGAGCATGTTCCTACGGGTCACGGCAGGCTGGTTACGCAGACAGTGGACTGAGTCATTGCAAAACTCTCCTGTGTGTGTAGTTACCTTCATATCTGTCCCATGGACTGCAGGTGTTGTTGGAAATGAAAGAGCTAATACAATGGCAGGTTCAGCATTAACTGTAGATGGCCTACCCATGAATCACGCAGACAATGTCAATGCCCTCAGAGAGATAGGACGTTCCGAGGATTGTGGAAGCAACATGTCCACATCACTGCTAAGAATACGAAAATTGGGAGTAAGGAACAGCACAGCCAAGCACGAGAAGCTTACCGGACGCACACGAAGTCTTATTTACCAGCATAGGACTGGCACAATTAACCACGCAACGCTGATGAATAGGTTGAAGGGGGAATATGAACACCAACAATGAAGCTGGAGTACTGTAAAGATAACTGTAACTCACAACACATGCGAGAATTCTTGCAGTAACCTACAAATGGATTTATTGAAAAAAATATTCTTTATTTTATAAAATGCAGTTGTAGCCTGTCCTATTCTGTTCTTTATCTCTGTGATACATCTTCCATCTGATGTCTCTGTGATACATCTTCCATCTGATGTTATCTCTGTGATACATCTTCCATCTGATGTCTCTGTGATACATCTTCCATCTGATGTTATCTCTGTGATACATCTTCCATCTGATGTCTCTGTGATACATCTTCCATCTGATATCTCTGTGATACATCTTCCATCTGATGTCTCTGTGATACATCTTCCATCTGATGTCTCAGTGATACATCTTCCATCTGATGTCTCTGTGATACATCTTCCATCTGATGTCTCTGTGATCTTCCATCTGATGTCTCTGTGATCTTCCATCTGATGTCTCTGTGATACATCTTCCATCTGATGTCTCTGTGATACATCTTCC